ACAGCACCAGCACCCTCAGCGACAGCACCAGCGCCACCAACACCTCCAGCGGCAGGACCTCCAGCAGCACCAGCAGCAGAACCACCGCCAGGACAGACAGCAGTAGTCTCAGCACCAACACCCTCAGCAGCTCCAGCTCCAGTAGGACCCGCAGGCCCAGCAGCTCCGGGACCGGCAGCACCAGCACCCTCGACGGTCGACGAAGCTCCAGCTCCAGCAACACTCCTCCAACGGCGAGCAAACCACTCGCGCAGCTCCTGTGGAGAGAGGGGCTCCCGGCGAGACGCAGCAGCAGGAGAAACCCCAGGCTCAGCAGCTCCAGACTCAGCACCCCCAGGCACAGCAGCTCCAGACGTAGCACCCCCAGGCTCAGCAGCTCCAGACTCAGCACCTCCAGGCTCAGCAGCTCCAGACTCAGCACCCCCAGACTCAGTAGCTCCAGCTCCAGTAGGACTCGCAGGCCCAGCAGCTCCGGGACCGGCAGCACCCTCAGCAAGCGAAGAAGCTCCAGCTCCAACAGCACGCCTCCAGCGGCGAGCAAACCACTCGCGCAGCTCCTGTGGAGAGAGCGGCTCCCGCCCAGCAGTCGCAGGCTCCGCACCTCCAGGCTCAGCACCCCCAGGCTCAGCAGCTCCTGAAGTAGCACCCCCCGGCTCAGCACCCCCAGCAGCAGCACCCCCAAGCTCAGCACCCCCCGGCCTCGCACCCCCAGGCTCAGCACCCCCAGCAGCAGCACCCCCAAGCTCAGCACACGCAGGCGTAGCACCCCCAGACTCTGCACCCGCAGCAGGACCAGACTCAGCAGCAACCTCGACTGGCTCGACTGTGTCTACCTGGGACACACCTGAAGGGGCAGGAACCTGAGGGGGGAGGGGGTCTACCGGGGGAGGAACTGGCACCAGGAAGTCCGGTGGGGGGGGGAGGGAAGGAGTACGGTAGGGGAAGAGGCGGTAGAAGGGGACTGACTCGTCGAACGTGACGTCCTGGGAGGACAGAACACGACGAGAGGAGGGGTGGTAGAACTGCCACCCTGGAGCGTCAAGGGGGAAGCCAAGGAAGACACAGGGAGCAGCACGAGGGGACAGCTTGTCCGCAGACAAGTCGCGGACAAACGCCCGAGATCCCCAGACACGGAACGCAGACGCATCGCCGACCTTCCCCGTCCACAGTAACACTGGGGACATCGCGGGCCGAGAGACCCTGGGGTGAAGGTTGAGCTGATGCGCCGCGTACCGAACCGCAAACGGCCACACAAAATGGGGGGCAGCCGCATGCATCATGGACGTACGAGCGACATCCATGACCATGCCAATGCGGCGCTCAGCAATCCCATTTTGCTGTGGAGAGTCCGGAAGCGTAAAGGTCTGGCGGATCCCCTGTGCACGACAGTAGTCTCGCAGAAGGCGAGAGGAGAACTCCCCACCTCGGTCAGAGTGCAGACGCAGAACAGGAAAGTCCGAGCCGAAGCTCCTCCTGAGCTGGAGACGAGCCTCGCGGATCCAGTCGATCAGCACCTCAGTGACAGCACCCTTGCTGCGCAAGGGGAAGACTGAGGTGTAACGCGAGTAGTCGTCAACCACCAACAGGAAGTAGCGCTCGTGACCCTGCCCACGGACGGGGGCCGGGCCCCACACGTCCATGTGAAGCGTCTGCAGAGGAGCCTCTGTCGGGGGAAACTGGGAGGAGTGAGGAGCAGCCCTGAGGCGCCCCTCGACACAGGGGACACAGGAAGGTCCTGGTCCCGAAGGAAGGGGAGGGAGAGACTGGGGAAGACCAGAGACAAGGACACGGGAAGCCATGCCCCGAAGACGGGGCAAGGAGGGGTGGCCTAGACGGTGGTGCCACAGAAGAGTCTCGTGAGACAGGAGGCGACACGAACAGGGGGCAGACTCAGGACCAGACCTGGACGCAGCAGCAAACACCTGACCCGACGCTGCTACCTGACCGGACGCGGGGACAGGAGGATACTCAGTGGTCAGGGTGTAGAGGCTCGACCCCGGCCGACGCGAGAACGTGGCCAGGTGCCGGCCTGTGCGTGCGTCCGTGCAGTGGGTCACCCGCTGACTCGCAGGAGTGAACTGGTGAACCCCCGCATCCTGTAGGTCTGCACCACTCACCAAGTTCGTCGAGAACGAGGGGAGGTACAGGCCAGACAGGGTGCCCGAGGGGGCAGCCGGACACGGGAGGACAGTGGAGAAGTGAGCGAGGACAGGACCCCCAGAGGGGTCAGCCAGGGAGACTGCAACCGGCCGACCAAGCGGCGTGAGTGTGGTGCGGTCCCGAAAGAAGGAGCGAGAAGCCCCAGAGTCAAGTGTAAAGGTGAGGGAGGCCGAAGCCAACTCGGTACCTGAGAGCGCAGCCTCACCCGCACCTGAGGAAGCAGACGCACTAGCACCTAGAGCAGCAGCCGCACCTGTACCTGGAGCAGGAGACTCACTAGCACCCAGAGCAGCAGCCTCACCAGTAGCTAGAGCAGCAGGTCCTATACCTGGGTCAGGCGGGACGCACAGGTGACCGGCATGGTCAGCACTAGTAGGGAATGCATACATGGCAGTGAGAATAGCATCATAGTCAAGAGCATATATATCTACCCTCTGTCTAAGCAACTCCACCCAGTCGGGAAGCTCAGCCTCGTCGCCAAACACGGTACGCCAGGCGTCGCTCAGACGGGCGAAGCAGCGGGACTGTGTATGACTACGTGTCCCACAAGGCTGACCAGTCCGAGTACCAGTGCGAATCACGTAAGAGCAGCGAACAGCACTGAGAGACCCTCCACTCTGAGCGTACCACTCACGAAGCTGGCGAGGCGTGAGAGACACGCGAGAGGGTCGCGGGAGCTGCATCTGGCCGCCACCACGAGTAGAAGCAGCAGGAGTGGAAGTAGGAGTAGCGTCGCCACCCCTACAGCCCCAACCAGCGTACCACTCACGCAGCTGCTGGGGCGTGAGGGACTCACGCAGGCGTCGCTGGGGCTGCATCTGGCTCCGCAAGTAGAAGCAGGAGCAGGACTAGCAGCAGGAAGGCAGGCAGCCAGGCAAGCCAAAAGGCAGGCAGGCAGGCAAGCAGGCGACGCGCAGCGTGCTAGCAGGGCAAGAGCTCACCAGTGGTGGGAAGAGTAGGCTCGGCGACTCTGCGGCTCGGCAGCTCGGCGGCTCGGCGGCTCGGGCGACTCGGGCGGCTCGGCGGCAAGGCGGCTCGGTAGCAACTGCAGCTCAACAGCTCGGTGACTCGGCGGCTCGGCGGCAGGGCGGCTCGGCAGCAACTGCAGCTCAGCAGCTCAGCGACCCGGTGGCTCGGCGGCAGGGCGGCTCGGCTGCTGGGCGGCTCGGGTGCAGGGCGGCTCGGCGGTGGGGCGGCTCGGCTGCTGGAGGTGAGCGATGAAGGAGGAGGAGAAGCAGGGGAGGCCACACACCTGCCACCCCTCTGCTGCGGCCCCCGAAGGAGCCGCGACGGGCGATGGGAAAAAGGGGGGGTGGGTGGTGGGGGCCGGTAGGTGCAGCGGCGGGGCCAGCAGGTGCAGTTGCGGGGCCGGTAGAGGGGGACGGCAGCCTGGGCGGTCGTGGGCGGCTCACGCTGGGCGGGTGCACGGGCGGCTCGGCGGGCGGCGTACAGGCAGCTCACGGGCGGCCGCGACGGGCGGCTCGCGGGCGTCGGGCGCTAGGGCGCTGGAGCGACGACGGGCGGCGCTCAGGCGTCAGGGCGGGCGGTCGTCAGAGCGCTAGGGCGGGCGGCGCTCAGGCGTCAGGGCGGGCGGCCGTCAGGGCGCTAGGGCGGGCGGCGCTCAGGCGTCAGGGCGGGCGGCCGTCAGGGCGCTAGGGCGGGCGGCGCTCAGGCGTAAGGGCGGGCGGCCGTCAGGGCGCTAGGGCGGGCGGCGCTCAGGCGTCAGGGCGGGCGGCCGTCAGGGCGCAAGGGCGGGCGGCGCTCGGGCGCTAGGGCGAGCGGCGCACGGGCGCTAGGGCAGGCGGCCGTCAGGGCGCTAGGGCGGGCTGCGCTCGGGCGCTAGGGCGGGCGGCGCTCGGGTGCTAGGGCGGGCGGCCGACAGGGCGCTAGGGCGGGCGGCCGTCAGGGCGCTAGGGCGAGCGGCGCACGGGCGCTAGGGCGGGCGGCCGTCAGGGCGCTAGGGCGGGCGGCGCTCGGGCGCTAGGGCGGGCGGCGCTCGGGCGCTAGGGCGGGCGACCGTCAGGGCGCTAGGGCGGGCGGCCGTCAGGGCGCTAGGGCGGGCGGCGTTCGGGCGCTAGAGCGGGCGGCCGTCAGGGCACTAGGGCGGGCGGCCGTCAGGGCGCAAGGGCGGCGGCGCTCGGGCGCTAGGGCGGGCGGCCTTCAGAGCACTAGGGCAGATCGAAAAAAAAGTACTAGGGCCCGGAGCGCGCTCCGGGCAGGAAAAAAAAAGGTTAAGAGGTAGCGCTGGTGGGCCCTACGAACAGTTCCCACAGGGGAACCTGCTCGATACCATGTGAGAATAAGCGAACAGGAATGAATGAACTAGCAGTGAAATGAGTACAAGTAGGAAACCCTAGAATTGTGTACCCCCTATAGGCTAACCCACTGTAGCCTACACAAGCAGAACATATATAATGTTTGACACTTGCCACCGTCCGGAAAGAAACATGTCACTTTTTGCCGGTACTCCACATTCGCGAGTACTGTAGCCTTGCGCAGTGCACAGTACATGTGTAACCCAATACACAAAGTCTCGCATTTTCGCCCATATAGCACGACTCGATTTCAAACATTGAAACCACCTGGAACAGTTTTGCAAAATGGAATTCGTTTGCCAATCCCTGCACTGAATTGGCGGACCATCCGTTTGGGTTTCGGATTGTCCACGGTTCACATTTTGAACCGTTGAAATTGAGAGAACGTGTCATAATGGTTCATAATATTGGCGACGTCGCACATGGTTTCACGAACATCATGACGACAACCCACGTGAGGCCGGACGGTCCGCAGTTCGGCCCGTCCAGGGAAAAATGGTTACACGCCCTAGTAGCAACATAACAATGGAGGGCAGAGGTGGATGGTAGTGCATGGCAACATGTCAAAGTTATTTTATGTAACTGCTTGTGGTTTAGGTGTAGTGTATTTATCTTGTCTTCTGTTTGGTGGTGCACCTCTAGTTTCTTGACTATATGTTGTAACTCTTTGCTATTATTGAATCATTCTCCTTCTCAACTCTCTCGACACTTTCCTCACCCTCGATCTCACTAGCCATGGCTCCTAAGCCTCGCTAGAATCTTGAAATGGTATCAGAGCGATTACAGTCCTGGCCTGTGGACCCACCCTACTGCTTCCGCTGCTACTCTGTGTTCGGCACGCCCCGTGGCGTGCCCCTTAACTTTCTCTTAGCGGCCCCGTTGCCGCCCTTTCAGGCCCCTCACGACCCCTTCGCGGCCCCGTCGCTGCCCTTCCGCGGCCCCGTCGCCGCCCTTTCAGCGGCCCCATCGCCAACCTGCGGCCCTACGGCCCCGTCGCCTACCTGCGGCCCTACGGCCCCGTCGCCTACCTGCGGCCCTACGGCCCCGTCGCCTACCTGCGGCCCCGGCCCCGTCGCCTTCCTGCGGCCCCGGCCCCGTCGCCTACCTGCGGCCCTATGGCCCCGTCGCCTACCTGCGGCCCTACGGCCCCGTCGCCTACATGCGGCCCTACGGCCCCGTCGCCTACCTGCGGCCCCGGCCCCGTCGCCTTCTTGCGGCCCCGGCCCCGTCGCCTACCTGCGGCCCTACGGCCCCGTTGCCTACCTGCGGCCCTACGGCCCCGTCGCCTACCTGCGGCCCCGGCCCCGTCGCCTTCTTGCGGCCCCGGCCCCGTCGCCTACCTGCGGCCCTACGGCCCCGTCGTCTACCTGCGGCCCTACGACCCCATCGCCTACCTGCGGCCCCGGCCCCGTCGCCTCACTACGGCCCCGGCCCAGTCGCCCACCTGCGGCCCCGGCCTCGTCACCTAACTGCGGCCCCGACCCCGTCGCCTCCTTGCGGCCCCAGCCCCGTCGTCACTTGCGGCCCCGCCACCTGCGGCCCCGTCGCCACCTACGGCCCCGTCGCCCACTTCGGCCCCGATGCCACCTGCAGCCCCACCCACTTGCGGCCCCGACCCCGCCCCGGCCATGCCCCGTCGCCAGCCGCGGCACACCGGGGGCACGTGCACCGCCCCCCCCCCTTTTCCCGTCACCCGTCGCGGCTCCTGAGGGGGCCGACCTGGAAGGGGGGGTCAGGCGTCGCCCCCTCTGCCGCCTGCTTTGGCGCCCAGGGAGACCGTGCGTCGCCCCCCCCCCCCCCTCCCCCCCCACCCCCCTCTCCTCCTCCTTTTGTTCCCGCTACTGCAGCTGACGCTGGGGGGGAGGGTGTGAGGGTGTGGGGGAGCCGGGGGAGTGGCACTGGGGTGGCGGGTGTGAGACCAACCAGCAGCCGTCCCTCCACCTCTCCTCTCCCCCCCCCCTCTGCTGCTCCTGCAGCAGTGTGTGGGGGAGGGGGTGACCAACCAGAGCCTACCACCTCCTCTCCTCTCTCTCCCTCTCTCTCTCCTCCTCCTTGCCTGCCCTCTCCCGTTCTGCTGCGCACTCTGCCTGGTGTACCCCTTCAAGGGGCGATAACTACACTTCTTCCCACAAGCAATTATGAGGGCGTGTCAAAGTTATTTTATGTAACTGCTTGTGGTTTAGGTGTAGTGTATTTATCTTGTCTTCTGTTTGGTGGTGCACCTCTAGTTTCTTGACTATATGTTGTATCTCTTTGCTATTATTGAATCATTCTCCTTCTCAACTCTCTCGACACTTTCCTCACCCTCGATCTCACTAGCCATGGCTCCTAAGCCTCGCTAGAATCTTGAAACAGCAATGGCAGTGCATGGCAACCATGACACTGAGGCAAGATGGGTACCTGAGGCGAGAAAAGTAGCTGAGGCGAGAAGGCTACCTGGAAAAGAGGCAGCCTGCGCAGATCTGGTTCTTCCCCGCCCGGAACGACACACACCGAGTGGTGCGCCCCGCCATCATGGCTCTGATCAGTGCAGCGATGTGAGGCAGTGATGTGAGGCAGTGATGTGAGGCAGTGAGACGACGCATGGATCCCCCCCCCCACCACCATCGACCCGCTATCTCCATCCCTCGCTGCTGCCGGTGAGCACTCTCACCTGCACTGGTGGCAGCACTCTCAGCATCTATGTGGACATGGATGCGTCCAGCGTCCCATACGCTAGCGTCTAGACACTAGCGTATATACGCTGGACGCCTTGATGACCAGCCCTGGACGCTTGGGTCGGGCAGACTAAAAACCTTTTTTCGGGCAGGGTGGAAAAAAGAGGGGGGGAGGGGGGAAGAGGGGAAAAAGGAGCGCCACAAGGATTCCGCCATGGAATCCCGATGGTAAACGTTATTTATGCTGGAATTAGATGGTATGCTTGATTGAAGGAGTTCTCTAAACGGATGCCATAAAGGCGAATTTCGTCAGCTTAAACGCAAGTCTAGGTGAGCTAGCTGTTACGAATAATCTGGTCGTAGGTGAGTTAGTGAAACCTAATCGTCGACTAACTCTGGCTGGGATATGTGCCTGCCGAGTTTGTTGATCTACTTAGGGCGGGTCCAAAATTGCACACTCCCAAATTTTCCGTTATTTTTACGTCAACACACTTGTCAAATTTGACTGTACCCCAGGGCGTAGTACTAAGGTTTCCTGTCCAGTTCGGAGTGTACAGTGCGGACTTTTGAGGAGGCACATGATCGTTGCGGAGGGAAAGGGAGTTACCAAATGCTGCGAGGGTTTCCGCATCTAAGGTGAAAGGGATAATATCATGGCGAAACGGTGTTGGCGAAAAAGGGGCGTTACTGTTTGACGACTTTGACGGGAAGCGATTTGGGAGACGAACCTTCGGATGTGTTCCACACGTCCCGGGGCACGTTTCCGAAATGAGCTCATTTATGTACAGTCTCGCGTCAAACTGTTTTCGTACGTAAAAAGTTATGTTACATGCTTAATTCTGGTAACTGAGCTGAAAATTTTCCGTATATGTACAAAGTTTGACCCGCCCTTACGATTGTCAGAATCCCAACCACTAGACCATTGGGATAAAAGGGCTTGTTTTAGTAGCGGGTCAGTGCGCCCATAACCCCCCAGGCAAACGCGCCTGTAACCCCCCCTAGGATCGATCGGGGATCTCACAGTGTAGCTCTACTGACACCCCCCCACACTGGGAGGCCCAGGACTGAGCACAGTGGCAATGGCCAACATGTGCATACACCGGGATTCGAACCCGAGACCGCTCTGATACCATGTCAGAATCCCAACCACTAGACCATTGGGATAAAAGGGCTTGTTTTAGTAGCGGGTCAGTGCGCCCATAACCCCCCAGGCAAACGCGCCTGTAACCCCCCCTAGGATCGATCGGGGATCTCACAGTGTAGCTCTACTGACAACGATGGGTTGGCTTTGCTAGATTGGGAGGGGTGAAATGCGGTAAAAAGAGAAATTGCATGGTCAATGTGTTGGATCTGGTTCTGTTTTGGCGATTTTGAACCAGATCTGTTTCGAAATTACATTCGCGCTGAAATCGCATGTCTCAATTTGTCGCGCGATTTTTTTCGTCGGGCTGCCCGGAAATTTTTTCGGCGAGCGTCCAACGTCCAGCGAGCGTCCAGCGTATGGACGCTAGCGTATATATGCCGGACGCTCGCCGTCCAGAGCGTATATGCCCACATAGCTCAGCATCAAGCCACCATTGCCACCACGACCACCACCGCCGTCGCCGCCGCCGCCGCCGCCGCCACCACCACCACCACAGTGTGCATCGTCCTCTCTGTCCTCTCCCCTGTGCAGCGCCTGACCCTCCCCTCCTTGTGCCCCCCCCCTTGTGACTCCCCCCCTCCCGTTGGAAAGGAAATCCCTTCACGCCCATAACAGCCTACCATTGCCTTCCCCCCCTTCCCTTCCTCCCTCTCATGCACTCTGCCCTTCCCCTCTTGCACGTTGATCACCCTTTGTCCCGTGCTGATTTCTCCTCTTCCAATCAGCTTGGTCCAGCCCTTCAACCATGTCTCCCCCTTCTCCTCTCTGCGATTCCCCTCCCCGCACACCACTGCGTTCACAACCTGCCAGGGCAGCACGCGCACGCCACCGGCAGTGAGGAACGGTTGCGGGGCCCACATCACCTCCCTCTCCCTCTCCCTCTCCCTCTCCCTCTCCCTCTCCCTCTCCCTCTCCCTCTCCCTCTCCCTCTCCCGCTCTGCCTCCATGCCCGCCCCACCTGGCCCTCTCTCGTTGCTGCACCGTCCCCCCTCCCCTTTGCTGCTACCTACCTGCCTGCATGCACCGTTGCTGGCCTCACCGCCTCCATCCTCCTCGCCCCCTGCCTCACTGCACCCACGCCCACGCCCATGCCTCTGCAGCACCACCCGCACGTGCCTCAGCACAGCTGTGCGCCCTTCATTCGGACCCCATGCACCGTGCCGTGCTGCGCTGCCACCTCCACCACCCCCACCACCCCAAGAAACGGCCTGGAAACCCACGCCAGCCCCTCACTGCTTGCCCGCCCCTCCCAGCCCCTCCGGGAAGAAGCACCGCGGCACCCACACCAGCGCACCCTTCCTCCCCTTGCCAGCCACCCTCCCTGCGCTCGCTGCCGCCACCGCCACGGCGGCCATGCTGTGCGCGGGCAGGCGAGTGCGAGTGCGAGGGGGGGCGGGTCGCACAGTATTCCACTCGCCCCACGGCCCTGGTGGCAGCGGCAGGGCGGGCAAGAGAAGCAGCGGTAGGCAAGGCAGGGCAAGTGAGGATGAAGGTGGGACGAGAGGGCATGAGGGATGTGATGGAGGCGCTGAGGGAACAGCGATTGGGCAGCAATATGAGGCAATGGCATTCCTCCCCTCATGCAGCCATGCGGGCAAACTGCCACCGCCGCTCCTTCCCTCCTCCCCCCCGTGGGCATCCATCAGCAAGGCACCTCGCTTGCTCCCCACCCGCCTCAAAGTATCCGCGCACCTCATTCCCCCCGCGCGCCGCCTCATCCCCCCCGCGCGCTGCCTCATCCCCCCCCAAGTGCTTCATCCCCCCCGCGCGCTGCCTCATCCCCCCCGCGCGCTGCCTCATCCTCCCCGCGCGCCTCATCCCCCTCGCGCGCCTCATCCCCCCCGCGCGCCTCATCCCCCCCGCGCACCTCATCCCTCCCGCGCCCCGCCTCATCCCCCCCACGCGCCTCACCCTCCCCGCGCGCCTCATCCTCCCCGCGCACCTCATCCCTCCCGCGCGCCGCCTCATCCCCCCCGCGCGCCTCATCCTCCTCGCGCGCCTCATCTCCCCCGCGCGCCTCATCCCCCCCGCGCACCTCATCCCTCCCGCGCGCCGCCTCATCCCCTCCGCGCGCCTCATCCTCCTCGCGCGCCTCATCCTCCCTGCGCGCCTCATCCCCCGCGCGACGCCTCAGCCCCCCTCGCGCGCTTCTACCACTACCTGCTGGACCGCCGGCATAAACCGACGTTCTCCGCGGCTGACGTCTTTTGCCGTTTCGCCAACGTGTGCTGCCAGCAGTCGTGCAGCCTGCTTCAACTCTTGCGCTTCCATCCGCAGCTCCGCCACCAGTCGTTATGTCTCACGGACCTTCGCCAGTCGCCGCGCCTCGTACGCCGTCGCAAGCGTCGCACACGACACACCAGCGACAGCGGAGTCGGTGTCAGTCATAAACGTTGACTCCTTTCGCATGTTGCTCTGAATCGCATCAGTCGCAGCTGGTCGCGCGTCACTAGATTCGCTCGAGTCACTCGAACCGTTCGAGTCGCTCGAGTACGACGTTGCAAAAAAGCAGGCTTCGTTTTCGGCCGTTTATGCCCTACAAATATCACAAGGAATCAATCTCGAGTGGAGGGCACGTAACGTTTTCCAAATTTGTTCCTTTCAAGGCGTTGGGTACACTCGTGCCCTGGAAGGAAAAGTGGATACCCTGTACCGAAGCACAATCTTAGATCGATGTTCCTTCCCCTAGTAGCACAATCTCAGACTGAAGCGACAGTAACAGGAAGGCCGAAACACAAGCCCACCCTGGAAACGCAAGTTTCCCCGACCGTCGCACCTGGTAGCTAGGAGGAAAAATGTCTAGCGGTTTCGCACTGCGGCAGTGCAAGAGCCTCTGTCGAAGCGTCGCGTCGCACGGCCGTGGCGAAGACTGGCTTCGACGATTTAGCGGGCAAGCCGTCGCTGGAACTGTCCTAAGAAATTCTTTTGAATTTTCGCCTGCTTCGCGAGAGTCGCATGGCAGGTCGCTTCCTCCGCGCGAATCGCATGCACACGCCGATCCCAAGCCGGACCGGTCTTTTCACCCTGCTTTCCGCGCTACTACCTGCAGCGGATGCAGCAGCAACAGTGATCGGGGTGTAGGCTGCACTGGCAGGAGTATTTCGAGTAGCAGTGCTGTGAGCAGCGGCAGCAGCGATAGAAGCGCGGCCGGCAGAAACAGCAGAGGCGGCGGCGGCGACAGTTTATCGCTGCCCGGGGTGAAGCACATCGTGGCTGTGGCGTCCGCGAAAGGCGGCGTCGGCAAGTCCACCACTGCCGGTGCGCCTCATTGCCTTCCCTCCTCCCCACCTCCCCTCCTCTCCGCCTCTCCGCCTCTCCGCCTCAGCACCGTGCCCCAAGTTGCTTCCTCTCCGCACATCATATCCCACCCTCCCCTCTCCCCCTCCCCCTCCCCACCTCACTCCCCCTTCCCCCTCTGTCACCTCTCTATCCCCTTCTCAATCTTTCTTCCCACCCGCCTCCCTTTCACCCTTACTCCTTTTCCCTTCCTCCTCCCCATCCCCTTCTCCACCTCCCTATCCCCCTTCCCCTCACTCCTCCCTCCCCCCTCCTTCCCTTCTCCCTCCCCTTCACAGCATGCCACAGGCTTCCACGCACGCTCTGCTCACATCTGCCTTCTTCCATTGCTTACCACCCTCCCTACCCCTGTTATCCCATGCCTCTCACCACATGCCCGTGATTCCATTCCTCCCCCTGCGTACCCACTTATCACCCCATGCCCATCTCCCACTATCCCCCCATCCTCCCCTACCTCCACATCTCCTCTACCGCCCTTCCCTCCATTCCCCCCTTCCCCATTCCCCCAATCTTTCCATTCACCCTTCCTTACATCCCCCATATCCCCCCGTCCCCCATCCCGCCTTCCCCATCTCCCATCCCCCATCACTCCTCCCCCCAATCATCTTTCCCCTCTCCCTCCATTCCCCCATGTCTCCGTCCCCCATCCCCCATGCCCTGCAGTGCCGCTCCCATCGCCTGCACGTTCAACTGCCTTCGGCCCGTCACTGCCCAACCTGCTCGGCCTGCACTGTGTCCCTCCTTTCCCCGCACATACCCCCCCCCCTTCCTCCCCCTTGACTATTTCCACTCACCTCCCTCCCTGAACAATCAACATCAAACCTTGAACCCCCACCCCCTCCTCACTCTGCTCTCCCTCCCTATTACATGCGCCTGCAGGCGGGGATGCTCGCCTCTGCCTCCTTCCATCCACCTCTCGCTCCCCACTTCTCCCCTTTGCCCAACCTTCTCCCCCCCACCACTCCCTCCCCTCTTTCCCCCCAGTGAACCTAGCTGTAGCCCTTTCTCTTCACATGCGCCTGCAGGTGGGGCTGCTGGATGCCGACGTGTTCGGCCCCTCATTGCCCAACCTGCTTGGCCTGCACTGTGCCACTCCCTCCCTTCACCCCTCCCTACCGCAGTGAACCTAGCAGTAGCCCTTTCACGCCACATGCGCCTGCAGGTGGGGCTACTAGACGCGGACGTGTTCGGCCCCTCACTGCCCAAGCTACTCGGCCTGCACACAGCTGGCCGCCCCGTGCTGGCATCACCCTCCCCCAATGCGCGCATGCTGCCACTGCAGGCACACGGCGTGCTCTGCATGTCCATGGGCTTCCTCATGCCTGCTGACGTGGCGGCCGTGTGGCGCGGGCCCATGGTGATGGCGGCGGTGGAGAAGCTTGTAAGGGGGACGGAGTGGGGGCGGCTGGACGTGCTCGTGGTGGACATGCCGCCCGGCACGGGTGACGTGCAGCTCAGCATGAGCCAGAGGGTCCGCTTGTCAGGTAAGTGGCAGGCAAGATGGGGTTGGAAGGGATGGGTTGGGACGTGCTCGTGGTCGACATGCCGCCCGGCATGGGGGATGTGCAGCTCAGCATGAGCCAGCGCATCCGCCTCTCAGGTAAATGGTGGACAGCATAGGATGGGGTGTGATGCGATGGATGGAATGCAGTGGTATGAGTCCAGCAGCACAGGAGGAAGCTGTGGGGGTGGGTTGGTGTGTGTGCGGGTGGTGTCCGTATTGCGTGGCAGTGAGGAGGTTGGTCCAGGGAGGTGGAGGTGGGTAAGTGCGACTGGTTCATTCGCTTCAGTAGCTCGCAACCCTCCTCCCTCCCACTCTTCCATTTGTCCACGGACCACCCATCTACCCATTTATCCATCCACCCATCCACCTGTCCTCCCCTCCACCCGTCCCCTTACCAGGAGCGGTGGTGGTGTCGACACCGCAGGACCTCGCACTGATGGATGCGCGGCGGGGAGTGACCATGTTCCGACAGGTCAACGTGCCGGTGAGCCATGGGGTTGTGGGATGGTGGGCGATGGGGTTGTGGGATGGTGGGCGATGGGGTTGTGGGATGGTGGGCGATGGGGTTCTTGGATGGTGGGCGATGGGGTGGGTGCTCTGCTGGTGGGATGGTGCAATGGTGGGAGCTGTGATTTGGCTGTGGCGTGGTGGTCAGTGTGAGTGGGAGCCACGATGTTCTATCAAGTCAACGTGTCGGTGGGTGCTGCGATAGAGGCATGGTGGGTGCTGTGATAGTTGCATGATTTGGCAGGAGTCAGCTTTTACCTTGCCTTCTGTCAAATTGGGGCGCAGCGGCTCCTCTCAAGACTGTGCAGGCTCCAAATACCATCTCTTCTCCAATTGTGCACCTTCCACACGCCTCCGTGCGCCCCTCCATGCAACTGCCACCGCCCCTGCATGCAGGTGTTGGGAGTGGTGGAGAACATGAGTTACTTCACCTGCCCGGCCTGCTCCCACCGCTCAAACATCTTCGGCCATGGAGGGGCCCGACAGGCTGCCGCTGACCTGGAGATCGAGTTTCTGGCAGAGGTGGGTTGCTGAGAGTGCCAGAGATGGCAGAGGTGGATTGCTGAGAGTGCCAGAGATGGCAGAGGTGGGTTGCTGGAGAGTTGAATTGCCAGCACACGTGGATTCCTGACAATTACAGATTTATTAGGAAGTTCAGAAGTTACACAAGCTCCGTGGAAAGGTGGGTGGGCTTTCCTCCACACTTAAGACAGAGGCGATTTCAGCAGAGATAAATGTGCTTTTTCCTGTGCCCTGCCTCTTTTGCGTCCGTTTTGTTCGTCCCACCCATACCCTTCCTCCGACTCTTGGCCTCCTTTCCCTCCTCCACCCCTCCCCACTCCTTACTCTCTTGTCCTGAAGCAACCTTCCTTTCCTCACTTCCTCGTGGCTTCTCCTCTCCTTCCCTCTCCCACTCCCCTTGTTCTCTCTGCCCCTTCCCCTCCCCTTCCCCCCCTCTTTCTGCGCTTCCTCCCCCCTCTCCCAGGTGCCTCTGCTGCCGTCCATCCGCAGTCGCTCAGACAGCGGCCTCCCCGTTGCTCTCGGCGCCTCAGCCGCTGCTGCTAGTGGGATAGAAAGCAGGGCAGCAGACAGTGGGTCGGCTGATAGTGGTGCAGCCGAAGGCGGGGCAGCCCAAGTAGGGGGAACAGAAGCTGGAGGGGCAGAAGGTGGGGGAGCAGCAGAGGAGGGGGCAGGCACTGGGAGTGGTGGGGCAGAGGAGGCAGTGGTGGCGACATATGAGCGCATGGCGAGGAGGGTGTGGGAGAAACTGGAGGAGCGAGCACTTGAGGGTGGAGGTGCACAGGGGCCAGCGATAGTGAACGACTGATGGGGAAAAAGGGTGTGGATTGGTTCCTTAGATGGCATATCTTTAGCCTCCTGTATGATTTTTAGACATAGCATAAAAAATGTGCAAGGTACGGTATGAAGATCTTGCTCATGTCAGAATCGTTGAAGGTAGTTAGAGTGCAAAGCAATTTAGGATTATAAAAACTACCGGTACAAATGCTAAAACAACGAGATACTGTAACAAAAATGCGGTGGGTGATTGCGGCCTTCACCGAGCCTTACCGAGCTTCGCCCACTGTTGGTTAAAGTGCTTCTCTTCGCTCCTAACCATTCTTCCGGCTCAGCGCTGCAGACATTTTCCTTTCAGAAGCAACCTCCCTGTGCGTGCATGGCGGCTCCGTGCTTCTACTCCAAGCCGTCCCTCGCGCTCGTGACTGTCCGCTGAAGTGCCTCCCCGGTGCGAACCATTCCGTGCGACAGCGGCGTTCCAGCATCCAGCCGCGCGGTTCGTGCGTGCATGGCAGCTCCGCGCGTGCACTCGGCGACGCACGGCCTGCCAGGCCGCAGTGCGCATTCCCGGCCGTCCCTCGGGCTCCCCGCGTTCTGCGACGTCGTAGCTGCGTTCGGGCTTTTCGACGGCTCCTCGTGCACCCCGCAGGTGACTCCCGCCGAGTGCGCATGAGCTGATGCTACTACCGCGCTGATGGTGCGGCACTGCCGCGTGCGCTGATGGTGCGGCACTGCCGCGTGCGCTGATGGGTCGTCAGTCCCGCGCATTAGCAGCACGCATGAGTACTATGCGCTCGACCCAAGCACAGAGGTGACGCATTCTAATGTTAGTTGTGAGAGGCGAAGCGTGGAGTAGCTCGGCGCGGTCGCCTCGTCAAACGTACCGACCCCCCGCGCTCCCTGCGCCGCGCTCCCTGATGCTCCCCGTTCCGCGCTCGTTCCCTGCGGCTCTCCCCGTGAGGCACGACGAGTGAATTGTGCTGGAGCCCTCCCGCCTACGCACGTCCGCGTGATGCGCTCATCCGCCCCACGCGGTGCCCTGCCCTGACCTGCAGTGAAGGGACCAGTGCGAACGCGGCTCAGGTGCGGCTCGGGTGATTGTTGATTTCCCGAAAACGGATACCAGGCACGGCACCTTTTCCCACCCTCGCCCCTCTCTCCCTCCCTCCAGTCAACCCCCTCCTTTTCAACCTTATATTGCCGCCCATTCTACCTTGGCCTCTATTCCCCTCCTCGAGCGACGGACCTGCCAAGAGGGCTTGCGTGTAACCCAACGCGCAAGCAGCCCTTCCATTAGAGCGCCTCGTCCCGCCGTCTCCCCCTGTTCCCTGCCCCCCTTTTGCCTCCGCGATTTTGCCCCAGTGCCCGCCCCTCTGTCCCCTCCCCACAACCCGGCTTATCACCTCTCCCACAGATGCCGCACGCGGCCTGCTTCTATTCCCCGATCCGCCTTCCTCCCCCGTCTCCACTTGCACTGATCGTTGCACCTACAGTCGAGTGGTCTACATCAATTCACAACCATTATATCACTCCCCATCCGCCTCCCCAGCCGCCTCTCTCGGCCTCACCCCCTTAACCCCTCAACATGCCCCCCTTGCCCCCCCTTAACTCTCTCTTTTCCTCTTCCCCTCTCCCCTCTCGCCTCTCGCCTCTCCCTCTCCCTCTCCCCTCTCGCCTCTCCCCTCTCCCCTCTCGCCTCTCCCCTCTCGCCTCACACTGTGCCTTAGATCATCCCAGGGGGCTTCGTTTCGTACTCAGTTGCTCCCTCCTCCTGCCCCCCTCTCCCCTGCTCCCCTTCCCCTCTCTCCATGCCCCCCTGCACCTCCTGTTCCCCTGACCCCCTCACCATACCCCCTGCTCGCCTGCACCCCCCTCTGTCCCCTCTGTCATGCACGCCTCCTCAGATCACCCCAGGGGGCGTAATCTCCTGCACGTGCCACGGATGCCAGCAGTGGAAGGCCTTCACAGCTGGCAGGCTGAGCTGGCCTGCCACGTGGCAGGTAGCCACTGGAGCAGGCGAGGGGAGTAGGGAGGCGAGCGAGCAGCAGCAGGAACATCCTGATTCTGAGAGGCACCGTGGGGGGTGCGCGGTGGGAGTGATGCCAGCAGTGGGAGAGGGGGGGCAGGGCAGTGGGCCGGGCATGGCAGCAAGGGTGCACTACGAGGTGCTCACACAGGAGATGCTGCTCGCCCTCGCTGCTTACATCCGGTCAGACACTCACACTCCAATGTCCGTCATACTCCAGTCCAGCAATCCCAGCCCCTCCTTGTCTCTCTTGTCTCTCTTCCTTACTGCCGTGGTTGCTGTCTCCTGTAGCAATGGAGCGGAAACTGTCGAAAACACTGGAGAATCCGGGGGTCCCGCCCCTGGTGTTCCTTCCTCTGCCCTGCTCTTGCCTCCCGCCCCTGCCACCCTCTCCGCCATGCCATCTGCATTTTCTCACGGACTGCTTTTGCATAAACCATGCCATGCAGGCTTCCCTTTTGATGCGCCCCCAACAGCCTCTCATCCCCACCATGCTTTGCCTCTCCCATGCCTTTCCTCCTCCCATGCCCTGCCCCCTTCTATGCCCCCCAGCGAGCGTGCAGGGCACTACAGGCGCACGAGTGGGCTCACATCCCTCACCGTGCTGGAGGTGGGCCGCTGCCGCTGCCGCTGCTGCTGCTGCTGCCGCCGCCGCCGCTGCTGCTGCTGCTGCTGCTGCTGCTGCTGCTGCTGCTGCTGCTGCTGCTGCTGCTGCTGCTGCTGCTGCTGCTGCTGCTGCTGCTGCTGCTGCTGCTGCTGCTGCTGGGGGTGCAGTGCAGGCAGGAGCGAGGCACATTGTGGCGGATTGTATATTGCATGCCCTGCCTGCCACCCTATGCCTGCCACCCTCTGCCTGCCACCCTCTGCCTTCCACGCTCTGTCTTATATGCTCTGTCTTCTATGTTCTCTCTTCTATGGCCTGTCTCCCATGCTATGAAGCGTGCTGCGAAGCTTCACACCCAAGCTCCTGCTCGTTCATTCTCACAGTGGGGGTTTATCTCTTCCTTCCCTGCACCTGTCCATTGCAACCTTACCATGTCATTCTGAGATCTCCCTCCCCTCCCCTGCCTCACCATTTGCTCAGATACTCACCACTCTCTTCTCCTCACCCTCAACTGCCATTGCTCAGATGGAAGCATGTGCCGGCATGCACTCCTCAGATGGAAGCATGTGCCGGCATGCACTCCTCAGATGGAAGCATGTGCCGGCATGCACTCCTCAGATGGAAGCATGTGCCGGCATGCACGCTTCTTCATATCTGCCCGTCTCCACTCCTCTCAACAATCTTCATCTTCTCTCGCCCCTCCCGCGTGCGGCAGGCAGGTGGGGGCAGGCGATGGCCTGCTGGCCTGCAAGCTGCGGCAGTGCTTGCGAGAGTGGGGCGCAGACGGGGAGGGTGCAGAGTGGGAGGGCGAGGAGGGTGAGATGAGGGAGGAAGGGGGACAACAACATGAAGAACAGGGAGGAGGGAGGAGGAATGGCAGGAGGAGGGACACGGAGAGGGGGACTGGCAGTGAGTGGGTGAGGTTGGAGGGGCTGTGGATGAGAGTGATCGCCACTGATGCCATGCCTCGTAGGCTGCCTGGCGGTGTCGCTGCCACACGCAGCCTCGCTGGTGCCGACTATGGTGATTCGAGGGAGGGCAGTGGAGGTCCAAGGGAGGGCAGCGGAGGTCCAATGGACATTGATCATGTGGAGGCAGGCGAGGAAGTGATAGCGTGTGATGCAGAAACTGCCATTGCGGCATACAAGCCCCATATTGTGATCGCATGCTGGATGGTGAGGCATGGGAGGGTAACAGTGCTGTATGTTCGCCCAGAATCTAATCCAAGTACCGCTTGAGTAACAATGCTGCGGTTTCATTCCAGTTTCAGTCAAACTTGTCGTCTTCTTCTCCAAGGTCCACTCTTGCCTTTCATATCCTCTGTTTCTGTGCTTCTTGCTCCATGTAAGTCCGTTGTCCCTAATCCTTAATGTCAACATCTGTTCTTTTTCCATCTCGGCCGGTGTGCCCGTGCTCTTGAACTTTGTCCCTTGCCTTCATGTTCTCTTTTTTGTCATCAGCGTACGAGTATATTGCCGCGCATGTCCTTGTGCACCTTGGACATCTTCCCACCTTCTCGTCTTCTCCCCTCTCCCATGCCCATGCAATCAGCCCCTAGGAGTGGACTGGACGGTAGCCATGCGGCGGCAGGCGTCAGTGAGGGAGTATATCCTCGTGGGGGAGAAGGAGGGCGGCATTTGCGGTCATCACCTGCTGACGTGGCGCTTCCCTGGCTTGAAGACGTGGCGACGGGGTGGCAGGCTGAAGCGGAGAAGAGAGAGGGCAGAGAAGGAGAAAGTAGAAGAGGAATACGCGAAAGAGAAAGACGGGGAGGAAGAGGAGAAAGAGAAAGAAGAGGAGGAAGAGAAAGAAGAGGAGGAAGAGGAGGAAGAGGAGGAAGAGGAAGAAGAGGAGGAAGAGGAGGAAGAGGAAGAAGAGGAGGAAAAGAATGATGAGGGGAAAGAGGAGGGTGCGGGGGAGGGCAAGGAGTGGAAGCAGGATGACAATGAAGTGGATAATGGGGGGGAGCAATGTGACCCAGGCCAAGATCATCACAAGGAGCACGTGGGCAGGGGAGGGAATGCACAACTGACAAGGGAGCCTAGGAAAAACAGGCACAGTAAAAAACCACAGAGGAACTCAGGAAAGTTTGAGCAGCTGGTTAAGAATACTGGGCAAGGGAAGGCAGTGGAGGGAGGTGGGGATGGGTGGGAGCGAGTGGAGTGTGATTGGATCAGCCAGTGGCAGATAGGGCGGACGGACGAGCGTTGGAGCTGCACCCGCCACTCGTACTCTGTGGCGTTCAGGCGATGCACTGTGGAAAGATAGAAGCATTGCAGCATATGCGATACAGTGCAGTGCGATGCAAAGCAGGATTTATGGTGCGCATCATTGAAGCTGATGGGGGATGAACAGCAAATGGCCGAATCATGTTTTGTGTGTTCATCCAACCCTGAAACCCTAAAACCCTGATCTTTGCAGTGCTGGTTTGTGCTGTAGCATGTGGCATGTAATTTGAAGATATTGTTTTCTTATGGCCCCAAGATTATGGAGCGTTGTGCTCCTCTCTGCCCTGTTGCATCAGGTTGGTCTCAAGAATGGACAACCCTGCTGCAATCGCGTTGTGTGTACAGCACGCCCCTCAGGGCCATCCTTTTGTCCGTGCCCACACTAGAGTGCTTTTGCTTTACGTAGAACCCTGAAAAATAAGTGTGACTCTTGTGTGTGAAAGGCATGTCGTCATCACTTGGATATGAGACATACGGTATGTGTCTTATCCTTGACTGCGTGTGTGAAAGGCATGTTGTCATCACTTGGATATGAGACATACCGTATGTGTCTTATCCTTTACTGCTCTGAAAATTGTGGTAAATGGAACGTTCATGGTGTCCCGTACGGTAAATCTTATAAAGAGAAGTTTTTTTTATATAAACAAGGGTGTGCATGCCAAGTCGGCAGCAGTGGGGAATGGCATAGAAGCAGCAGCAGGAGCAGAAGATGGCAATGTCAGAATGAGGAATGGATGTTGCATTGATGTTGGTTGGGGTACATATGACAAACCCTAACTTCTGTACCCCCTAAGACAAACCTCACTACAGGCTACAACATTTGACACACCCCCATAGCCTAAGTGAGGGGTGTCTAGCAAAAACAAAAAAGAGTACGGTCACAAGACCAGTCCAAAAGAAAACAAAGCTCAGGGTGGATCACAACGTCACCACACACTCAGAGCACAAGCAACAGTGGCCACAAGGCCAGTCCAAGAGATCACAAGTATATATAGTAAGTGTACAGACGAAGCAGGCAATAAACTCAAGTCTACGCATGACTAGAACCTGTGTCAACAAGGCCTAACTGCACACAACACCTCTGGTGGTCACAAGGCGGAAGCGCCTTGGTGAAGATGTCTACAGTGTTGGCCTCGGACTCAACAAACTCGAAGCGAGCCTGTCCACGCCTCTGCAACTCTCGCAGAAGAAAGTACCTGACGTGAATGTGCTTCACTCTGCTCTCCAGTCGCGGCTCACGACATAGGAGGATCGACGCCTTGTTGTCAGTAAACAAGGTCGGTGCAGAGCTCGGCCGCTCACCAAGGTCGGCGAGCAAGAAGGTCAACCACCGTAACTCCTGTGCCGCCATGGCACCAGCGTAAATCTCAGCCTCAGCTGTAGAGGTAGAGACAGAAGAGGAGCGCGTGGAACGCCAGGAAACAGCTCCAGAACCCAGACTGAAACAGTACCCCTGAGTAGACCTGTGAGTCTCAGCGTCGTCAGCGTAAGAGGAGTCACAGTGACCAGTGAGTACGACAGACTGCTGCCCTCCAAGAACTAGCCCCACGCCGCTAGGTACTTCGCCACCCTCACAGCTGCCGTCCAGTGAACAGGACGGTGTCTCCCTGGCGCAACAAAGCGCGCAAGGATGCTGAGAGGGAAGGTGAGGTCCGGGCGAGTACAAGTCATCAGGTACATGAGGCAACCCACAAGCTCTGCGTAGGGACCACTAGGCTCAAACGGCTCGTCAGGAAAGGGACCAGTGAGTCTGTGGTCAACAGCTAGAGGTGTGCGCTGTACGGTGGAGTGCTGAAGCCCGAACCGCTGAAGGACCTGCTGCACCATGTGTGACTGTGAGAGTGTAATGGTGCGAGCGGCTCTGTCCCTGGTGATCTGCAGGCCAAGGTAGTGGCGCAGCTCACCAAGATCAGTGCACGTGTGTCTCTTCTGCAGTTCGGAATTCACGTCTGCCAAAGCAACCCTGTCCGGAGTGGCGAAAACGAGGTCGTCGACGTAGACCAGAACAAAGAACGGTGTGGAGCCACGACGAACGAACAGCGACGGGTCGGCAGAAGACGGCTGGAACCCAAGGTCAGAGAGGGTAGAACGCAGAGTGTCGTGCCACTCACGAGGGGCCTGGCGAAGACCGTAAACAGGTCGCCTCAGCCTCCACTGGGTCCCAGGAGGGAAGGTGCCAGTGAAGGCCGAGGGACGACGCAACCAGACCTCCTCGTGTAGGCTGCCCTGAAGGAAAGCAGTGGAGAAGTCGAGAGAGTGTAACTCGTAGTCTCTCTGTGCTGCTACGTGTAGTAACACCCGAAGAGTGGTCATCTTCGGGGTAGGTGCGAAGGTCTGAAAGAAGTCAACTCCCTCGCGCTGACTGAAACCTCTAGCCACGTAGCGCGCCTTGAAGACCGGGGGAGATCCCGGTGGCCGCTTCACCCTGTAGATCCACATGCCGTCGACTACGTTCGCCCCAGGGGGGGGAACCTCATCGACGTAGGTGCCTGTGGATCTGTAGGAGGCCATCTCTGCGTCCATGGCAGCTCTCCACTGAGAGGCCCAAGGCCCTGACACTGCCTCAGCGTAAGTGCGAGGAGTCGGAATGTCAAGGGCGTCGGGGTCACCCTCAGGGGCGAGGAGCATGGCACAGAGATGAGGGGAAGCGGCCGCCAGGAACTCTAGCTCAAACTGCCTGTCCTCTAGGGCGTCACAGCCAAGGGCAGACACACCCCCGACGGCCAGAGGACTGGTAGGAGGAGCAGCCACAAGCGTGGTGGCGTAGTCAAGGCGGCGGGTAGAGGCAAAGTCAGTAACTGCGGCAGTAAGAGCGGACACAGAGGACACAGAGGCACGAGGGTGAGTAACAAGAGAGGCGAGAACACGAGAGAGAACAGGACGGTACGTGCGGTAGTAGTCAGTGACAGGAGTAGGGAGCGACACAGTGAGGGCCGACTCAGGAGGAGACGGAAGCACAGACTGAGACGGACGGGGTGGACTAGAAAGAAGGAAGGCAGTACGAAGGTCAGTCAAGGGAACAGGAGACGAGGGACGAGCACGAGGGGAGCGACGAGTAGCCCAAGAACGAGACGGAGGAGGAGAGGACAAAGGCGGAGAACTGGGGAAAACAGCGGGGGAGGAGTCAGGAGGAGGAAACGTGGGACCGTAGACAGGAGGAGAGGCGGAGGAGGGAGGAGAAGGGGAGGGGAGACCAAGGATCCGAAGACCCGAGACAGGAGGAGGAAGTGGCTGCTGCTGCTGCGGCTGCGACTGCTGCTGCTGCGGACGCGGCTGCTGCTGGGACTGCTGCTCCTGCGGGTCCAGCTGCTGCTGCTGCTGCTCCTGCGGCTCCAGCTGCTGCTGCTGCTCCTCCAGCCGCTGTAACTCCCTCTCCTCTCTCTCCAACGCCAGCTGCTCGTCACGGGCACGGCGAACACGAGCCTGGTGCCTAGTCGGGTAGGGGTGGGGGGGTGGAGTAGTGTCCGAAGCAGCGGCAGCTCCAGAGTCCACCTCAGAAGAACTAGGCGCACCACCCCCAGAGGCAGCACCAACACCAGCTCCAGAACCAGGCTCACCTGAACCCGAAGGAGGCGCACCACCACCCCTAGACGCAGCACCCCCAGTGTCCGCGCGGCCAGCACCAGCTCCCGGACGACAAGAGTCATCTGTACCCACCGGGTCAGCTCCAACTCCAGAACCAGAAACTCCAGCTCCAACTCCAGCACCCCTAGAACCAGAAACTCCAGTGCCAACTCCAGCTCCAACTCCAGCTCCAACTCCAGCACCCCCAGAACCAGAAACCGGTACAGGAACAGGCGCCGCACCAACCTCTCGAGAGCTAGCACCAGCGGCACGCTGCGAGGAGGACTGTGGGGAGGGAGGCTGTACCGGAGGGGCTACCGAAGGAGGAGGGGTAGCCTGGGACACACCTGACGGGGCTGGACCAGGGGGGGGAGGCTGTACCGGGGGAGCAGGAGGGGGAACGGCAATCAGGAAGAGGGGGGGAGGAGGAACCGGGAGACCTCGACTGGGGTACCTGACGTAGTACGGAGTGGACTCCTCGAAACGGACGTCACGGGAGTCAAAGAACCGGTGAGAGGGAGGGTGGTAAAAGGTGAAGTCAGAGGAGTCCTCAGGGAAACCAAGGAAGACACAGGGGACGGCACGAGGCGAGAGCTTGTCCGCGGAGGTGTCGCGGACAAGAGCCAAGCACCCCCAGACACGAAACCGCGACGCAACACCAGGGGACCTTGTCCAAAGACTGGTCAGTGAAACCTCTGGTCGAGAGACACGTGGCCAGAGGTTCAGCTGGTGCGCGGCGTACCTGACCGCGTAGGGCCACAGAAAATGGGGGGCACAGGCGTGAGTAAGGGAGGTGCGGGCGATCTCCATGACCAGGCCTATGCGGCGCTCAGCAACCCCATTCTGCTGTGGGGACTCTGGAAGCGTCCAGGACTGACGAATGCCCTGCTCGCGACAGAATCCAGCGAGAATGCCGGAGCGAAACTCACCCCCACGGTCGGAGTGGAGACAGCTGACACGACGACCACGAGTGTCCTCAGTGGTGAGCAACCACCTGATCAGCGTAGAAGTCACCTCAGACTTCTTCGCCAGAGGGAACACTGTGGTGTAGCGGGAGAAGTCGTCAACTACCACCAGAAAGTAACGCTCACGCTCAGGGCCTAGACGAGGGGCTGGGCCCCAGACGTCCAAGTGAAGCGTCTCAAAAGGCTCGGTGGCCGGACGAAGGGAGGAGGAGTGAGGGGTGGCGCGCAGCCTACCCTCGACGCAGGGACGACACGGCGGCGCAGGCGAAGGCGGCAGCGACGGCAAGACACGTGGGAGGCCTAGGACAAGACGCTGACTAGACATAGCGCGTAGACGTGGAAGGGACGGGTGCCCCATCCGGTGGTGCCACAGAACGGTGGGGTGGGCAAGCGACCGGCAGGAGCACGACGCAGCGACTGGAACAGACGTAGGAACCTGACACGACACAGACACCTGGGGGGACGTAGCAACCTGGTGAGACGCGGGGACCCGAACGGGGGGGGGGAACCGGGGGCAGTGGCAGTAGGGGGGGCTGCTGGTGCGGCCGCTGGTGCTGCTGCTGCTGCTGCTGCTGCTGCTGCTGCGGCTGCTGCTGCTGCTCCGGCTGCTGCTGCGGCGCACGCGGGCCAGTGTGAAGAGTGTAGAGACCCGAGCCCGGCTCAGCAGTAAAGGTAGCAAGAGGCTGGTAAGAGTCT